ATTGAAATTTAATTATAAGACAGAGAGATCGTACATAGACTACTTGTTTATTTATCTTTATAATTTTAAGTAACTTTATACGTTGATTTTTCTCATTAAGGTGACAATCCGAGATAGAAAGTGACATGGTAGCGCAATAAGAACAGCCTGTCCCGTCAGAGCTCATGAAAAATTATGAACGCGCCGTGAAAATTACAGAAGTTGTCTGATTAAATTTAGAAGTTGCCCCCACTAATTAGCGAGTACATAGCATTTCACTCAGGGTACGTTTAGCGCCGGGATTTACCCTAGAGGGACGTTAGCAAATTTTTTTAATGGTAGTAAAAAAGGCGCGGCTTTTTTATTCATTCAACCCGTATTATTTATTTATTTCAAAGCAGAGATTCAAATATAGACATTTAAATATTGACCGAATATATGACATCGATAACTAATTGAACTTATAAGAATTGCAAACAGAGGCATCATAAAAAATATGTCTATACTATCACAATTATAGGTATAATTGTAATAGTATAGGCATACCTATAGTTTAATTTATTAACATCTAATCCCGTCAAGTTTGTTAAGGCTGAAATAGTTATTTATACCTAATTCAATATTCAAAATACTAAATTAAATCAAAATTATATACCTTTTTAAAATATGTAGAAAAAATAAGGCAATTAATTCTGAAAGACTTATTAATTGAATTGACCTCAGTTGGATGTGTGGAAATAAAACGATTTCTATAAGTTAATTCTACACGGTGTCCATTTAATTAACGGAATTAATCTTAAACTATAAACGGACGGGTACCAGGAGATCAGAAGAAACAGGCGTCGGATTAATGTGCAACGCAACGTAATGGATATCCCCACAGCGACGATGCCCTTTCTGTTCAGAGTGTTGCAGACCGAGGCACAGTAACTAATGCAATTAGCGTCAGTGTTCGATGTCGCACTTCTGCTAAGAAATAATTGAACAAAGGTAATCCATAATACATTTACGAGATATGATATTCTAGGTTTTTTCGTATTGTATTTAAAATGAGCATCTTTCGTCATACATACCAATATTTTTACATAGATTTCAGATGTCTCACAATGTATCTTTAAATTGACGTGTTTATTGAGATATTTGTTCAGTAAAACACCTATATTTTTACTAAATAAAAATTGTAATTGTAAAAGAAACAGTAGATATAAAATGTGATGATGTCCATTCTTCTTCAATAACGACTTCAAGAAAATATGTTGAGATAAATAACAAAATTTTCATCATAAAATATTTATCATGCAGGCATACTAAATAGAATATCTTTCTTACACTGGCTGTATTAGGTGCCCACAATACATAGTTATATTGTATTGTATATATAAATCAAATCCACTTTGAGATCCCACAATAGCGCCACTAATTGACAAATAGTGGAAATGACAAATACACCAGCTGGGAATTTTCCTAAAATACATCCTTTGATCATCGTTTGATTAACAACTACCGACTGCCGGCCGCGAAATGTTATTAATTTTCTTTTTAATTTAGTCCTAACTCTATTAGAATATATTTCAGTATGATTTATTTTGTAGTCTTAAATACACAATGTACAATCGGTTGATTCTCTATGTTTTACATCTTAATACTGAATCTTTAGGTTAGAGTAGATTGTAAAGAATTACACTGAATATTAGACAAGAAATGTGAGGTAATTAATTGCATAGTCATAAAGAATGGAATGTCTGTGACATTTCATTCAGGAGATTTTACGTCGTATTTTATGTTGCAAAAATAAATATAACACAGATACCATCACGACTGTTATCCCAGATGGTAGTCAGAAGCATTGTCAACTATGTTGTGGTGAATGCAATACTTGACATGTACACTTTTTGCTCTATATATTTTGAATCCAACATAGCAGAGGGCCTAGCCCTATATCTCGAATAAATTTTATCAGTGTTTCCTTCATCGAAGAGTTAGCTCGAAACAAAATTGACACATAAAGTTTTTTTTCTATCTGATCGACAGATTTGAACTCATGACCTGTTGAGCGTAATTTAGGGTAGTAAACCCACGACGCTCACAAGAATATGTACTAATTATACGACGAGTGTTACGTAGAAACCGCGGAGCAAAGGGCATGGGAGCGTGGACGCGCGATCCCGGGCCTGAACTCAGAACAGGTTTTACATGAAATAAATCAAAGCCGTGTATACTCCGTTATCAAATTATCAAAAGCACGTGAGACTTAATTCCATGTCGGCCAGTTTAAAGACATGTTCCTTGAACCGTGTTCGCTGCAAGATTTTTATCTGGCCCGTAATTGCGGACTAGAACATTAGCTTGTTACGTGCGCTACAGATTAAAATTTTAACTATGAGATAATATATGAACTATAATATAAATAATATTTGTCACTATTTTGGTGGCAGCATGTACAGCAATATGACAGTGACGTGTACAGAAGTAGTTTGTAGAAAGTCGACTACAGAAATAGGTGATACCTACTGAGGTACCCATCATAGTTTCACATATTTCTGCAGCCAAGCAGCTTCCTTTGTAAGATCTTTAATCGAAACAGTTCATAAAGCAGAAAAGGTAATGATATTAAGAGAACCTTAAAATACAACTTAGCTCTTAGGAAGGGCAACACACATTTATGATTTTTGAGAATGTTCTAATTTGGATTAAAACTAATTCTAATTTAGACATAATTAATTTCCAAATCCTCTGTATACTCTAAAGAAATAACAAGAACCGTTTTATATGACACATTTCATGAATAGTGCTTCTTCTTTGCATAAGTTCTTTGCTATTTTCAGTGGAATAAAAAATAATGACAAAGTGTAAAGGATTCTGTTGTACCTATTTAGCTATGAGACTGTAATAAACTGGATTTTTTGTACTGGGTAAATAACCTGTACCAGATTCAAAACACGGCTTGTAGGTACCCTAATAATGATAGTACAGTACCAGCGAACAAAAATTTTAAAATATTAGCTTTATTTTTTATTTTACTTATATTTTTTAAACAAATGATATTAAGAGGTATTTTTTTCTATGTAACGGACTAACCCAAATATATTATACTAAATACAATTTATAAAAATTTCAGCTATAAAAAATTAGTAACATTATTATATCTCGTTTTCTAATCTATATTGAATAAAATACTAATAATAAACAAACACATAGATACCTAATACATATTAACTAAAAGAGATAATGGGGGAATGGTGAAATGCAATAAATCAGCATGTCTTGTATACATACCTATCAGAAAATCTATAGTAGTCGGAATGCAAGTGAAAATTGAAAATTAAAAAAATGCGAGGGTCGCCCGCGCGGGGGCGTCGCAATCGTAAATTTAAATTGTCCATCCCTCAACATGCAAATTTTCAGAGTAGGCATGCCTTTCAATTGTAGGTAGATACCTACATCGCTCGTTGGGGAATTAATTACAACTGTTGGTATTGTAACTCCTCAATGCTTTGGTTTTGTGAGACCATAAATATAAGGGTAAAATTTATGTTTGACCAGTAAGCATTGTAACAACATATGAGTAATAATAAATATTTTTTTGCACAAAATATATCGTTGTAAGACATAGAAAACCATAGATTCATTCTAAAATTTTGTATCTAATATAAGCTGCATAGTCAGCATGATATTAGTGCTTTATGATAAAATCTCTTAGAAATGAGTGAGACATAAAATATAAAAACTAAATAGTAATATTCCATGGGCACTGTAGTTCCTCCAAGACTTCCCTATTCAGTTATGGACATGCCATTATTTTTTTATGCTTCGCTAGAAAACTGAATAATCAACAACAGTGAATCATTAAACCGGTTAGTAATGTAATAACATTACAACAGGATTACAGAAATGTTTTCCCACAGTGATGTAGTAGGTACCTTCATATACATGGCGAACAGTAAAACAGTAGCATCTGTGAATACGCCGAGAGTCGCCGCCATCATTAACTGTCGCTAATGAAGCTTGAGCTTTTGGGTTTTAAATAACTTGGGCCTGCCTCGAGGGGCGGGTGACATAGTCAGTACATAGCAGTGGAGATTTTTTTACTTTAGCATTTGTTTAACAAAGCATATCGAAAATATCTCGATGTGACTTTGCAACAAGGTTTCGGGTTTACGATATTAATTTAGTCGAAACACTAGTCCTTTTTATTATTGATAAGTATGATCTACCTACTAGATAACATAGATATTTATATATTGGAATATAATAATAATCTTTTTGACATACGAAGACATAATATATCATTATGAACTAAATACGGAAGTCTCGCGATAACATTACGGAGTAATCTGATACAGTCTAAATGTGATTTTTTGAGTTGTTTAATTGAATTTTTTCACCGTGTTACGTTATATTATGAATTCTAGCAGCTGTCATATTAAGTACGCTATAAATTGTCGACTTTATAAGCTGTAGAACGAGATTTTATGATAAGACGGCGGTATCTCTAGCGCTTGTCTTTCTACATACACAAATTAACGTCCGCACAAAGTTATGTCGTCGGGTAGCGGCGCGGTTGTCACTCATGCTCCATCAACTGCTGGGAAACGGCGAGGGTATGACGGCGGGTCAGCCACATGTCGAAACAAAACGTGACACTATTTCATCTCGCTGTCTCATTTTTGAGGACCTGCTTCCTTCAGTCAGACAAAGATGGATCTTGAATACGCGTTTAAGAATGTGCCGCTTAGTTATCTGCGGTGAACGGGGGCCCATATCACAGACAGGTTGTCGCTAATAGGCGTTTTACTTGGAACATATGAGGTTTTATCTACGTGTGTGTCCCAGCTTTAGGACACGTGTCAGTCTGTGTCGACCGTCAGGTCGGCAGCCGCGCGTAATGATGCTGGCGCAACTGTATAGAGCTCCGCCAAAACAAACATTCGCCCGATCGTTAGTTCGTTACCTCTCAATACCTGACTATTGAAAAATAATTTAATTATAGATCAACTAAGTGCAACAAACTCTCTTTTCAGATACGTCGAGGAACCGATGAGGAGACACCGTCCGTTGGCACATCGTGAACCCCTGGTGACATCGATTGCTGCCGTTTAGTGAATGGAATCCGAAGTGTTTGTGTAGTGACATAACGGTGTAAGTGTCGGCCCTTGTGGCCGAGAATCTGCAACGGAAGATACGGACGCGAGCCGCGCGGGCTGTGGGCCCGCGATGAGCGCTAACAACTGCGACAGCATGACATATTTCTCTTCTGCGTACATGCCGGATATGAGGAACGGTGGCGGTCATGAGCATCAGCAGGCGCACGCGCATTATGGCGCGGTGCCGCAACAAGGGCACGATTTAGAGGGCTGCGAACAGCAGATGAGGCCGGCGCAGCACCATTACCCCGCGCAACCAGCGCCGGGAATGCCCTACCCTAGGTTTCCACCGTATGACCGGTTGGGATATTACCAGCAGATGGAACAGAATGGATATCGACCAGATAGCCCAACGCAAATGGGCCACATGGGCCCAAAATCAGACGGATATGGACCGAATGGACACCAACCACCAGCGCCGGCGGTCTACACGTCGTGTAAACTACAGGCGGCGGCGGCGACTGCGGGCGGAGTGCCGGGTAGTCCACCTTTAGAGCAGGCGCAACAAATGCCACATCATATGCACCCCCAACAGCACATGGTGCAACACGGGGTACCTCCACACCAACAGCACCTCATGTACCCTGTGGATGACATGCAGCATCAGACGCAGATGCCACCGATGCACCAGCAGTCGATGCATGCACAACAACCCCCTCCGCAACAGCCCCCGCCGAACACGAATGCGTCGTTGCCCAGTCCGTTATACCCCTGGATGCGAAGTCAATTCGGTAAGCTAACATTTCTTTTTTATTTTTATTCTTATTTATAAAATAATTTAAAACGTTACTGTTTAAGAAAAAAATACAATTACCATTTCACTGAAAAATATTATAAACTCGCTTATGTATTGGTGCGAATTTGCCTACCGTAGACATTCCTAATAATCGATTCAAGAACTTTATTTAACATTAGGTCGGTTCGTTGCCGTTTTTTGGTGTATAAATTTTTACATTTTAATTGATGTTCTTTTCATTTATAGCGGAATGTTGATTTCTCCTTTGCAATCCTTTCAGTTGCAAATAATTTAATATAAAACTAATAATATTTTCACAACAAGTAGAAAATATTGACCATCGTCTAATATATTTAAAATTATAATAAATATTTAATACTTAAGAGAAATTGCTTCTAATATCAGGAGATAAATAGACAGCTGCTCAATGCGACACCAAACTCAGGTGTCGTCATACAATTAATTTTGCACAATGTAACAAAAGTACTGGTTGCAAAAACGTACTGGGATATAGCAAAAACACTTTCGCTTCACGTACGCATTGATGAAACAATAAGTGCCAGAAACAATACCCTTCCTTCTGTTCCAGGATTATTTATGGGTCGAACAGGCATTCAAAAGGAATTTCACTTTTCATAAAATTTACAACTTCTAACACAAAGCGCTCACCTTCTGTTTTGCTGACACCGATGGGAACAAAGCCGGCACAAGTTGTGCTACCGTCTCCTACTGTTTTTGAATTTGTCTGAGAATTAATTTATGGCCGAGCTGCCTGATTTAAGGATTCTATTGTAATTGAGATCATTCAAGTTTTAGGAATTTCAAACTTGCACTTTAGTTTTGCGCGCGAGTTTGCGAAGCTCGTAGTTTGTTCGGTGACTTGATTTGTAATATTCTTCACAACGCGACTTTCTTTTTCTTCTCATTGTAATATAAATAATTTTATCAATCAACAATGTTTTTATTAATTGAATGTTTAAATGAATATTAATGTGTTAATCGAAACTGAAGTTTAAAAGTAGTAAAGTTAGTGTTTATAGTGATTAAATATATAGAAATATATTAAAACACAAATTCAATGGTGAGTTATAAAGATATATTATTTATCCAACGTGACAACGTAGCTGCTACGTACTACGTACGTTATCTTAATCGGATAATAGTTTCTCAAATGAGGTGATAATAGTCACCCGTCAGTATATCATCATTCAACTTTATAAAATATAATAGTTCGCTTTATAAAATAAATATTATTTATATTAATTCCCTATATTTTTTATATATATAGTACATATCTGCATATGATACGCGATAATTTGGCGTAACATATAGTGATTACGATGATTTTTAGCAACTGATCCACTTTAAATATTGGTCTTATATTTTGAAAATTTGGCAGCAGTTTCTTAGTAGGTAGTATACATTTATCTATTCAGTTTTAAAGGCACTTAAACAATTAATGACTCTACATCATGTTTATAAATATGAAATAATCAGTGGTTGTATAAATGGACTTAAATATTTCATATCCAAGCCGGTATCTTTAATTCAAAGGAATGAAATTGAATTCTCAAACGCCGAGATAGATGAGGGCATTTATTCATTAACTACTGTCACAGATAACGGAAACTCTACTGACATGGAAATTGGTAGAGACAGCAAATAAAGCTCTTTAGCTTTATTTGCTGGTCCTTTGACCATTAGTAATCTTATTATATATTTTATAATACTATACAATATAAATATGAATTTATCTGGTTGTTAGTTATAAATTTACGGGTATGGTACGGCTATATAAGTACTAAAGATTTAAATTTGCTTATGTACATTGTACAATGTCAGTAGACAACGAAGTTTAGTCAAAAATAATAAAGATTCCGCTTTTTATCTGTTGATCTGTAAACGTATTTCATATTTAAAGTAGTATAAAAGAACATTAATTGCCAGTATGGAACATAAACAAGCTAGATCTATACTAAAATAATTATTAATGTGATAAGAACCTTCATAATATTCAAAATTCTTTGGATATATGATTCTTGGTGTAATTCTATTTCGATTCAGAGTTCAGTGTTAAAATATAATTTTACAATTACACCTTACCTTCGATGAAAATTTATGACTGATGTCGTCATTAGAGTATTATTTTATTTTGCGTTTTATTAATTAAATTTATTTATTATATATTTCTAGTAATTATTTATTTCCTTATGCTAGAATATGTTTTATGCCACCAGTACAGCATTCGCGTAGGTCGCTCAACCAATCTACGTCCAACTACGTATAAGTTGGCGACTCGATGAACCCATGTCATAACCCTTATCTACCGATGCCGGCCCGATGCCAGATAAGATGTGCCAATTTTGACTTAGCTCTCAGACCGGCCAGACGCTAGAGTTGGCCGAAACTGTTAATTAATTCGGAACTTCGATACGGCGTATAGTTGGATTCGAATGATTTATGTTTTGGGAGTAATGAAGAACGAATTTGGTTTATATGAACTACCTTTAGCTTAGTAGATATTATAATATAAATGCGACCAATTTCGTATATACTAATACCATATGTATTCATGAGACTATATTACGATCGCTTTGATTTCATTAATGATTTCACAGATGTTATATATATGATACAAATACCGGGAAAGATCCATGCCAAACTATCACATTTATATTGACCGTATCTTCTACCGTCAGTCAGTCAGTCAGTCTTTGAATCCGGCTTACATGATACGAGTTATGGATGTTAACGAGGCAAGAATTGTGTATAAGGACAAAACCAATGGCAGTCTAATCTCTTTGCCTACCATGTAAGGGATGTGGCGTGATAATAGACAAGTAGATTATACTGACAGATTGGTTTCAATGTTGACGGGCATAATCTACCAGTTTCATAAATTGTGTGTCTGTGAAAAATATTTTTAATGCATGCAAGTTATTCGGTGTTTTCATTATTACATATGTTTTTCTCTATGTGGTAAAAATACAAGGTGATAACATCATATTAATGAAATTAAATACATATTAATTGGCATAAGGGAAAAAGAACTCGAAGTAAATTATCACCCAGATATCTCAATGATTTGTCAAACTTTTCGGTTCTTATTTGTCCTACAGCACTATCTTGTGACATATATTTATGATTTCGGTAGGTCACTTTTAGATTCATTGCAAGGTCTACTAGTTTAAGGATGTAGCAATTGATCTGACTTTTTCGCAATGTCTTCTGCGGAGTTCAGTCGATGTTATTTTTTTATTCAATATTATTAGTCATATTATTATAAATTCGGCTGTAAATTACATCTTATAATCGCAGTCTTCTATTATCATTCACTTAGCATTAGCTTCGAAATAAAAAAAACTGTAAATTTATGTCATTTGTAGATTAAATAACTCCGAAAAAATTATTCATTGTTAAAGAAAAAAACTTACGAAGATTCTAAGGTCAAAAGAAAAACTCTTTTAATTATAAACTAGAGAAAATCAAAATATTTAAAATTGAAAAATCATTATTATTATTTTAGGTATATTTAGTTAACTTTAAAACGGCAAAAGCTTTTGAGTTGAGTTCAAATAAAAAGTTGCCACAAAAACTAAATACCACCTAGTTAGTTAATGAAAAATACAGCCCACTTAAGATTTTCAGTAGCAAATACTCGTACTTAAACTCTTGAAAATCTCATGTTATCTACTTGAGAGGCACCATCATTAATTATAGACAAAATTTGGCTGCCATTTTGAAAAAACCCGACCGACCAATGGGAGCACAGTTGGCTGATGTTTGTTTGAAAATAGAACGCTAAGTTCGAACAGTCGAATCATTAATCATTGTGAAACTGTATCCTACATGTAAGTAATCACTCACTAATCCGTTTATCGCAAGAATTAACTTATACAAATGAACTTACAATGTTTTTATATTAGTGTGTAAATATTAAGTCTTTAATGTAACAGTTAACAGTTAAAAAATATACCTACTGTTTAATTTTTTTTTTCAATTGGGAGTGGCTAACAGACTGTCAGCCCACCTGACCGTTAATAGTAAAAACCACCAAAACTAATAAACAAAACTAGGCGATGCATAGAGATAATATCTATTAAAGTATCAGAGATACTACCCTCGTAGCCGGAGTATCTATTAATTGCAGCGATACAGCCGCATTTACTTAGTCACTACATAACAGTCCCTAATGTTACTCATTAGATCTATTTATTGTTTCTACTTATAATTTGGTCTACTATAATGCTCTAAAATACTACAATTTTGTCTACTTAAACTTACTGTAACTTTAAATATCAACAAACACAAATCAAATAATTTATGATTCTCAAATTTTATATAAATACAACATGTGCTCTATTATATTACATCACAGAGAAACTATTATGCCTCTTATGGTCGATATTGTATAGAATATAAATTTTACTTCAGACTGCAAAACAACGTCATTATTTTTATTTCGCTGATTGTCTGTAGAGCTGAACATAGGTCTCTGAGTAAAGTGACTTGAGACTCTCCTTATTGGATATTGGCCGCAGATCATCTTGCAAAAGGTTTGGGATATGTTTCCTATTTTGATTAATTATTTATCAAATCTTCTCTGGTTGTCCTTATTACTGAATCTATCATGCAGTGAAATTCCATGCATGGATTTCTCCATGGTCCTCTTTAACTCACTTGGAATTTCCTTAAATGCCAAAATTATACTATCGTGTTTCTGTTCCGTAAATCATTACTGGAAACTCTAGTATTGGTTTTACGTAAGCTGAAATATAATAACTTATTAATTGATTTTATAATTAATAAATAGTATCTCAGTCCAAGCAAGTATCGTTACACAAAACTGTAATATAGAAGAAACATTATTACGCAATTATGTAGAATCCAAAGATTTCTGATGCTTTTAATTTGATCTTTTAATATGTGGGCAAAAAAATAGTCTATCCGACAATTAATATACTTGCTTAGAGATTTAACTATTTTAATAATATT